TTCTCCAGTAAGCTTAAATATTTACATAAAACTTCAATCCAACATGACACCAGCAAGCGACTCTCTGCAATGAAAGAAAAATAGTTAAAATGGCGACTTAAGCTTTTTAAAGCTATTTTTCCTAAGAGTTTACCTAGAAATTCCAGTCTTAATCATTATATTTTGAATACGATTTGTTTTATAACTAAAGCACTTACCGGTTTTTTGTAGACCTTGTTTTAATACCGCAACGCTTGAAATTTTCCTTTCGCTTGAGAATTGTTGATTGTCGGCGCCACATTTTGCCAAGTTGTATGGTTGCAGGCAAATCCAAGATATTTATTGAATGAGAGAATTTTTAAGACGGTTAGTCTGAAAATCTGGATGTGTGAGAGAAAGATTTTCCCGTAAACTAAGAAAACGGGAGATTTCACCTAGAGATCTATCATATCGAGCATTTTGTCTATCGACATACAGAGCGGCACCAATGGCGGTTGCAGCTCCCTTTTAAAGCATGGGCCTTCGAGCTGAAAAGATCGTTGCCAACCGCCTGCCCATCGGAAAACAACTTTGCCTGTGAGAGCAACCTTGTCTAAGACTTCGCCCATGTTTAGTACCTGCATGGGCACCTGGGTAGGAGCCATCTACAGCCCGTAGAAACTTCTGTACTAAGGGGATCCTCTTGCACCACTGGGAAAGACGCCACTTCAGAAAAAATCATCCCTCACATTTCTCTGGCCATGTGAGAAAGCACGAGAAAGAATGCAGAGTTCATATTGCGCAGCTACAAAACCTGGTGCGCAGTCATGACGCTTAAGGTGGCTGAACACAGTTTTTGATACCTGTGTTTCATTCACTTTTTTCTCTAAAACCCTTGATCCCGCGGTCGCCATGAATGGCAGCAAGCACGTTAACAACACAAACTTTGGTTTCTTGATGGTGAAGCTGACGTATGTGCTGTTACCATGGCAACATGAATAAATATAAACAGGCCTTTAAAATCGATTTCATTTATTTGTAGAAAATCTAGTCATTAGATTTTCTTTATAATTTGCATGCAACAAGCTTGTAACGATTCTCACAAGTTAACACCATTNTTCAATTATTTTCAATATTCCAGTTACTTATTTCCTAAAGTATTTTCGTACCAAATTTCGTGAAATTCTAATGAGTGGTTCTCGAGAAATAGGCGTATTCCGACAGTGCAATTTTTAATTTAACCGCAATTTTTTGACTTACTACGCATGCGCTGCACTTGACTGGGTTCTTTCGGTAACAAAGAAAAAGCTGAGAATTGCTCGGTTCTTTGCATCGTTACATTTTCTAACATATCTTTGTAATTAAAGACTAAAGCCATCAATACACTGCGTTCAATTATAGAGAAAAAATAGCACAGATAGTGCGGGTGTTGAGTAAATAAAATGATCACTCTATTGACGGCATGTTTGTTTTCTGCAATACTTTATTGTGCGCGCGCTGGATTGCATAAGCAAAAGCGCGCGCGAAAACTGTGTTCGGCCACCTTAAGTTGTCCCGGGTTGTAGGGTTACCCTACCTGTGAAATTGTGCTTGTAAACCCGGGATATAGGGTTAACTCGTTTGCTAGGGTAACCCTCCCTCTTTGGAAACAGGCCTTAAGCTGAATTACTGATCGCCGTAGATGTCAAGCAGGATCCTTGCTCATCAACAAATTCTTTAGCAAAACTCCTTGAATAGTTGTCTACTTATGAAGCTTTATTCTCTGGATTTTTTTACCTCGAGTCTCCTGAAATCCACCGGGGATAATGAAGGTCGATTATCGTTTATTGGGGGGCAGATTACAATCTTCGGTGACGCTTTGAGCTCTAAAGCTTAAACAGTAGAAAAATGTGACTTTGTGCCCACTTTGTCATAGTAGATGAGCGTGCCAAATTCAAGGATGATATAAGCTAGTGACAGAGGCATATAACCCTTCTTCTAGCGATAAATCATAACAAACAAACAAAAAACAAAAGCGTTTGGACTCATATGAATTGTTGAACGCGAGAAAAAACTTCAACGTTTTCTTCCTTTGATAAACGAGAAGAGCCAGATAACAAGAGATTCACAAAATGCGAGCAGCTTCAGAAAGCAAATTTCCCCAAGGGGCAGCACACAGAGGGCAATAGGAAAAGGAATAATCCACATCTACAAATACGTGACGATTTGACTCCAATCTAAAGAGGTAGCGAAGAAAACCTTAGAAACAGGCAAACATTATGGTCTCTAGCGTTGAGAGTCCATTTTCGTGAATTTTCAACGTGGTCATCTGACGTTACCACCGTATAGACAACAGAGGCAGCAGCCGTATGCTAGGAAAGAAATACGATACCGCTACAATAATAATGTTCAGTGACTTCGAGATCTCCCGTGAGAGTTGTCAACTCCTCACTATCAAGCTTTGTCGCTCAGCTCAGACCAACACGCTCACTAAGACAGACTAGAATGTTAACATTTTATTCAGTTTATCATAACACACGCTAGATGACTCTACTACCCACACATCCGAATGCCCAGTTTATGTTGAACTCTAGGGTTGATACACATAATTTTGGACGAGTAATAAATATATTACAGGAAAGATCCCCAAGTTCAGTTGATAAGAAAAGACAAATAACGTCTAATTTTTCCCATTAAACCGACAAACAGTCATCTTCGGCTAGGTCCCCTTTGTGTACTCCCCATTCCTCCCAGTCAGTAAGGGGGGGCCTGGGTACGCCCCTGCTTCTTGTGCAAGTCCACCTTCACCCAAATTACAACGCTACTTCTTTTTGCTGTGCAGCAGTCTCACTCAAACTAAGTTAACTTCAGACATTTAGAAATTTAAAATCGGTGGAACCGATCAGCAAAAATATCACCTACTGGTAAACATAACTTTAAATAAACTGTCTATTCACTAATTCTTTTTCAAATATGAAGTCTTGAAAAAGATAATTAAAATCTTCAAATCTGAAGTTAGTGTAAAAAACATGAACCAAAAATATATAATTATTATTTGAAAAGCCTTCAACCATTCACATCCGGGTAAATGGCAAATGAAAATTATATTTGTATTCATGTGCATAGCAGTCTTTCAAGACTACAGGAACACACATTGAATTTAACATTCCAAGTTCCACAAGGAATTAACAATTACACTATGCTTAAAGCATACCCTATGTACCACTCAAATGTTACTGAAAGCATTCCCACATGACTTTCATATATTTATAAAGGTAATTAAGTTAAGAGTGAAATATTTTACAATATTTTAAATTAAGCTTTACACTTTCCCCGAAGTTAAAATAAATTCATTTAGCCCCATCTTTGGCACTGTTACCATTTAATTCAAACTTTATAACTAAACCAATGTCCTAGAGTTCAGAAAAAAATCCCACTCTGTCTCATCATATTATTCAATCTAAGGGAACATTAAAATTCTCATGTAAGAAGTTTCATTCTCACAATTTCTTGTACCTGGTGACATTCCAATATTTTCATAAAATTACCCAATCTACAGACTGCATTAGCTAATATTTTCTTTTCACCTCTGGTATTCTAATGATTCTGGCTGGTTCGTTTAGAAGTGGGTCATGTGACCTCGGGTCTCAAGCTGCCGAGAGTCATAACATACGATAAGAATTCTTTTTCATTGAGTCAAGAGAGCTAGGATTAAAAGAGTCAACGTGAGACGTTTGCAATTTTAACTACTAGTCTGTTTTAAGAATACAAACAGAAAAACTGAAGTCACAAACCAGCTAAAACCTCTTGCCAGAAGAGCTTATCAAAACTGGTCGGATGGATGTTTCTGAACAATAGAATCTACCAATAACCCTTAAGTTTTAGATTTAATAGCTTCTGTAACTGTACAATTGTTTATTAGTCCTCAGCATACTTCAGTCTTCTCTTAGCATCAACTGCTCAGAGAGAGCTTTTCAGCCAGGAAACTTGTGAGCAAATGGTACAAGTGTTCGGATGTCCCTCCACCACTCAGACCGTGGTTTTTGTCCGGATAAAACTGTCCAAAAAAAAAAAAAAACGTATTGCATGCCATGAGTTCGTCTTTTCTTCTTGCAAGAAAAATGCAGGGTAACTGTTCAGGTTAAAAAAAAGTGAGTTGTCTGTCTCTGTGTAATCATATCCCTATCGGTTTATCAGTCCGTCCGTCCGTCAGTTCAGTCCAGTTCAGAAACAAATTAGTAAGGTCAAAATTTACATTCATGATACTTGTTTACACAAAAGACTGAAGTGATCAAGCGGGTTGTAAATCTGTTCTACCTAATTCAATAACACCGTTGAACTTGTTTCAAGAATTTTAATATTGTTAAAATTAAAGTACATTTAATCTGTATTTGGGAGTTTTATCAAGTCTTCTGTACCCCGTTACCCGACGAAATTATATTGAACAACTGGGAAATAAATGAATAATTGGGAAATAAATGA